CTACGTCCAACCACACACACATCTCTACATCCAACCACACACACATCTGTCCAACCACACACACATCTCTACATCCAACCACACACACATCTCTACAACCAACCACACACATCTCTACATCCAACCACACACACATCTCTACAACCAACCACACACATCTCTACATCCAACCACACACACATCTCTACAACCAACCACACACACATCTCTACAACCAACCACACACACATCTCTACGACCAACCACACACACATCTCTACAACCAACCACACACAACTCTACATCCAACCACACACACCTCTACAACCAACCACACACACATCTCTACAACCAACCACACACAACTCTACATCCAACCAAACACACAATTCACGTCCAACCACACAAACAACTCTACATCCAACAACACACAGAACTCCACATCCAACCACACACACAACTCTACATCCAACCACACACAACTCTACATCCAACCAAACACACAATTCACGTCCAACCACACAAACAACTCTACATCCAACGACACACAGAACTCCACATCCAACCACACACAGCTCTACATCCAATCACACACACACAACTCCACATCCAATCACACACACATCTACGTCCAACCAAACACACAACTCTACATCCAACCATACAGAACTCTACATCCAACCACACACAGAACTCCACATCCAACCACACACAGTACTCCACATCCAACCACACACAGAACTCTACATCCAACCGCACACACATTACATCTAACCAAACACACAACTCCAAATCCAACCAAACACACAACTGTACATCYAACCACACACAACTCTACATCTAACCACAAACAACTCTACATCGTCAGATGTGTAGATGTTGCAGAATGAGTTCTCTTCTCTTTTGCAGCTTCATGTTGAAGATCTCCAGGAAACAATTACATATATGCACCAAAACAAGAAGTACAAGAAGGTGAGAGACAACAAAATTTATATTTTTCTAAATACTCTGGGCAGTAAAAAGTTGAGTGCTTTAGTTTCAGTCAGGTGATGATGGAGCTGTACCGGAATAATGAATGGTGACACCTTTTTTTGTCCACTTCTCCCTCCACCACACTCACACAGATGGTGTTCTACATTGAAGCATGTGAGTCTGGGTCAATGATGAGCAATCTGCCTGATAATGTTGACGGTAAGTTAACTTAATATCAGTGGAAACACTTTTCAAACTATAAACAAGAAAAAGTTATTTTAAAAAGTGATGAAGTGATGAAACATCTCATCTCATCATATTTTACTTTTTAGTCACTTAGTTCAGTGTAAGGGAAGTTTCAGATAGGTAAAATGTCAGTATTTTTTATAAGGTGCACAGTGTACAATTTTGTCTATTTTTGGTTAGTTTCATATCCTTTTTTATATTCCAGACTAGACTGAGGTTATAACTGTGGCTTTGGTCTTCATTATATCTTTCCAGTTGTGCGTTTAGCATTATGGCTTGTGACGCTTTGCGAGTACAGTCATGTGATAAACAGTGCCTGACTGTCATAGGACACGAGTCAGGTCTCTGCTTTATTACTTTCTGACCAAAGGTTGATTTAATTCAGTGGTTCTCTAACTTTTTATGCTGTGCCACACTTTGAAGAGAGAAATAGATTAAACCCTGATGCTAACTCAGCATTCACAATGTTCAGATGAGTCAGAACTACTGGTATTAAAAATATGTAAAGAACATATACAAAAAAACTCAAGACTTAGAAAATTGAGTAATAGCTGAGTCTGCATTCATGTTGTTGTTTCCTAGTTTTTATTTTGCGTGTATGTTTTTTACATTTCATAGTTTTTATTTTATGTGTATGTTTTTTACATTTCATAGTTTTTATTTTACGTGTATGTTTTTTACATTTCATAGTTTTTATTTTGCGTGTATGTTTTTTTACATTTCATAGTTTTTATTTTGCGTGTATGTTTTTTTTTACATTTCAGCTACTTCTGAATCAAAATGTTAAATTTGTTCAGGAGATGTTGTTATGACTGGTAGTTTTTGTAACTTCTTTACCTTTCTAAATATTAAGGTCTTTTTATTTTTAAAAAATGCTAGTGTTAGTAATACTTTAAATTTAAAACAGTTTGTTTTTTCTTACTATCTCTGGCCCACATTAGCGCGAAGACCCAACATGAGTGAACAGGGTTGTTACAACTTTTTAAGTCTGAATATCAAATGATCAAGGGCCTCATGTATAAACGGTATACACATAAGAAATGTGTGGCGCAATACTTTATGCTTGACTCAGAATGTATAAAAATGAGCGTGGTGTGAAAGTGTGCGTAAACGTATGTATGCAAACTTTTTACCTGCCGTGTGAAGTTTTGCAGTTGATAGTTTTAACCCGAAGTCCTGAATCTGATCTGAATACACAGAAATATGGTTCCATTCTGTTGTCTGGATGTAAAGAGCCCCTGAACATGGTGTTAGTTTTTTTAGTTTGAGCTCTTATTGTTTAAGCCTGAACTATGAAACTGGACTTCATTTAACCTCAGACAAGAAAACTGAGTAGCCTGAAAAATGATCAAAACAACCTCAGTCCATTGTAAACTCCACTGAGTCCGCACTGAGACCACGGGCCTGCGAGGCTCACACACAGCTGAGGAGAATAAAATATGTGAATTGTCTAAGAAACATTTTAATTCTCGTTGAGAAAAAAAACTTTGTCAGTTCAGCAGATTAATTCAGAACACCTCGCCTGTGATGATTCCCCAGTTTGGCAAGATGCAGACG